ATTTGAGTCTGCTAGAGTTACTGCTTTATGTAACTGTGATGTTTCTTGTTTCTTGTAGAAAAACTCTCGCAGTGACTGTATTTGTTTGTAGTGAAGGTTAACTATGTCAATCAGGCCACGTCCGCCTTCTTTACGTGGAAGGGTTAATCTTTCTATGGCGGATTTAGGATGATGTTGTTTATGCTTATTATTATTATTATTATTATTATTATTATAAATTCTCCAGTATCATTCCTATTTGTTTCAGATTAAGGGTTAAAAAATATCAAGCCAATAATTTCTTTTAAAAAAATTAGAAAAAGTTTTTCCTCCTATAGCAAATTATAATTTTTCTATTAGAATTTAATTTCCCCATTTTCTCATTAGAACTTCAAGTATGTAACTTGTAAAATCAAAGACATTATTTGTTCTAGTTTATATAAATTGTAAAGTATGTAATGTTGCATTGAAAATGTTAATTTAAAAAATGTACAATAATAGAAATACATACCAATTACTGATACCATCTGAGCTGTAGGTTGAAAACTATCAATAAATGATGATAACAGTTTTGAAAATTTCTGAAATGTAGATAAATATAAATGAAATTAAATTTTATTGAGGTATATGAAAATTTATAACAGATATCATAAGGAAACTATATAACAGAAAATAATAGTTTCTCTGCTATCAAACTTTATTGGTATAACATTTCTTTGCCTAAAGCAGAAAAAATAAACTTTGAATTATCACATATTTATGCAAACATAGTTCATATCAATTTAAATCTTCTTAATTACCAAATAACCAAAGCAAAGAAATTTTTCTTTAGTGCTAACGTTTTCGACGCCTCTTCTTAGTAAGCTGTAAAGGAATGGAAAGGACCATCCAAATCCGAACAGATTACTGGGGATCTACAAGGTTGAAATTTAAATCTTCTTAATTCAAACCAAAAATAACTGGAGCAAAAAAATAGGATGGTCCTTTTCATTCCTTAGTAAACTGTAAAGGAATGGAAAGGACCATCCGAATCCAGACAGATTACCAGGGATCTACAAGGTCCCAATAAGGGATGGCAGATCAGATAGAGATATGGTATATATTGGTTCAACCAAAAGGTCTTTAGTGGTATGATTAAATAAGCATCAGTTACACATACTATACAATAAATGCACAGCGGCCCTTTCGACTTATGCGACAGACCTGGACATCACAGCCGACTTTAACAAAATACGTATCATCCTCACCACCCCGCATCAAAATCAGCTCAAAATATTGGAGGCAATGGAAATATTTAAGGCGTGATGCAAATCCACATGCATTAATTTTAAGGAGGAAATGTTGTTTTCTATGGCATGGCAAGTCCTAATAGACGATAATATTTAATTTTATTTATGTTTATAATATTTTAAATTAAAAATCAGTTTGCATTTCGAATCTCATAGTAGTGTACAGTCTTTGAATAAATTGGAATGCGTGCACTTTTGGAACACAAAACTGAATTCCTTCTAAAAAAGTTCAAAAGTTTAAAGACCAGCTTGCAACAGATTTAAGTAAATGCCTGAAGAGCCCAGAAGGGGTGTCAAAAACGTTAGCACTAAAGAAACATTTTTTTGCTCCAGTTATTTGGTTTGAATTAAGAAGATTTAAATTTCAACCCGGTGTGTTAGGATGTTAAAAAAAAAATTCATATCAATGTTTTAACAAACTAATAAACTTAATTAATAACTAGCAGCATTAATATAACCTGACATAATCTGAAAATCACTTGACATTAAACTAAAAATTGGATTACTGAATGTTTATAGTTTTTACAGTATTCTATCTTCTTAGCTAACTTTTTACTAATAGCACCCATATAAAGTTCTATTTATTATTGATCTTGTACAAATTAGAAAAATAATATTGTTTTCTTTAGTATTCTATTCTGCCTCCTCTGTCTTTGCTAATCTCCAAAATATCAAATAATATTTTGAATGATTAGCCTAGGCTAATTGGTAAAAGTATCATTTGAAAGCTATAGTTTTCAGATGTTTAAGAATGATAATGAGACCAGGTATACTTAGAAACAACAGCAGCACATACTTTATTCATGCATTAAAATGAATTATGTTGATCTCTTAAAAATATTTATAGGAGGATAGCTAATGATATAGGGATTAAGCTTTATTGTAGGAGGAACCAGTCCTTACACAAGCTTCTCTGTAATGACAAGAATAGTGTACACCCACCAGGTGTATGTAATATACCAATGTGGTATGGCAGGACCAATCAGGTACATAAATATATATAAGTCACCAGGTGTTCACTGAGATATAGGGTTGCAGAGCACCAGCATGATGTGAGATAAGGTTCCTCTTCTAGTGCCCCAAGTCTTTGTTTCAGAAGTCAAGGCAAATTGGGATAATACATCAGTTACAAAGGATTGCTTCCTAAAACAGTTGAAATGTTAGAAATATATGTGAACAAATAAAGGTGCATCAACAAATTTTAGAGATCATGGTACTATTGCACAGGCTAGGAAAGCATGGTATGAGATTTCTTGAATAAACGAGTTAATTATATTCTCATATGCCTTATTCGTGTGATCATGTGACAATGAAGAGAAACTATATATAAGTATAAACTAGTGATGAGACAATTAATTGGAATTGGAAAAATCAAACATTTTTTAGGTATTGGAATCGAAATTGAAAAAATTTTGTCACAATTTCTGTTTCTTAAAAATGATTCTTCCACATTTTATAAGAAAATTAATTATTTGTTTCAGTCAAAGATTAAAAACTTTTTTAAATTACTATATTAACAATTAAATATTATGTTTTTATATTAAATATTAGTTTATTGGAAACTTTCATGTCAGTATAGCAGAAAGTATGCAACAGCCCATACATGAAGTGATGTCCATCACTGTGAACTTTTCTTTCGTATAGCCAGAGCAATGAGTGATTGCATTTGGTTGGTTCTAACTGTCCCATTTTAGGGAAGATAGGTTGGCTTTAGGGTTGCCATTGGGCTGGCTTGACTGGCAATCTGTATTCTGTATATCTATATAAATATTAAAAGCAAAATGTTCCATCACCACTGCACACAAATAATATATATTTTAAAATTAATATGAGTTACAATTTGAAAATTTCAAAATAACTTTTAAACAGTTTTTAAAACATTCAAATCAATTGAAAATTAAAACATTTTAATTTTAATGAATTTGATTTTATTTTTAGTTTTTGTTTCAGTGTAAATGCCAAAGTTCTAATTATTATTTTATTATTTTAATTATTATTTTTAATAATTTTTATTTATTTAATTTTGCATGCATTTTTTGAATTCTTAATTACAATTTTTTAAATTAATTGCAATTCTTTTTATCTTTTGTGATATAACTATAGAAATTGTTTTAGTGTTGTTTCATACAAAAGATAATCAGATTATATTTATTTTAATTTTTTTTAGTAATTTCATTAATTTTTGTTTCATAAATTTGCCTGCCTTTTAAAATTTTAATTATAAGCAAGTTAACATTGATTGAACTATTGAGCTATCTAATTTCAAATAGAGGTCAGCAGTTGGCAAAACAGTGCCTGCAGCCATGTCAGATCAAAGCTGGAGAAAGTTGTGAAAGGTGATGGAGGTTACATAGAATAATTTCATTTTGTTTGTTGTGTACTAGTTTATAGTGATAGACAGCACGCTAATCATTTGTTACAAAAACTTTTACCATACAAGCGTTAAATTACACACGTATGTCACTAAATTGACGAGCGCTTTCGACGATACACATTTTAGTCTTCTTCAGGTCGTTAGAAGATGTAAAAACCTCTTTTGAATACAAAATTTTTAAAAATATTCCAATGTTAATTAACATTTTGGAATAACAGCAACGGTAGAATAAAAACAAAAAAAGAAGATATTTAAATAAAAAACATGTGCGTTTATACTGCGCATGCGTTAGACGGCTCTATATTGTGGTTTTAGTTGCAATGTTTTATATAACTGTACAAACTGATCCACAAAGGGGGCAAATCCAGAGTGGGGGTGTTGCAGGGCTTTAATACGTTGGTGATGAGGGCTTCCCAGATATATACAAGATTTTTGTTGTTGCAATGTTTTAGTATGACCACATCATTCCACAGAGGGGTATGCTTGTGTTGTAGCACCATTCTGGCGAGTTCTGTGTCATTCCTGCCTTCCCTGATGGAATATTGATGCTCTAAAATATGATTAGCTAACATTCTAGTTGTCGCACCAATATAATGGGTGTGACCGCCTAAATCATTCTCTAATGGGACTGAATAAATTTCCGATTTTTCAATGGTGGATAAAGGATTCCTGTTGTTGGCCAGCAACCTCCTAAGATTCGACCGCGGAGAGATCGGCAGAAACAAATCATGTCGCCTAAAAATACGACAGATATGGAGGGTGACACGGCCAGGAAATGGTATCGCGGGCAGGACTATTGTGGACTCCTTCGGACGGTGTAACGTGGTGGCGGGAAAGAGTGATGTTTTTACCTTATTTAAGATGTAATTAAATTTGGCTTTGCTGTAGCCCGCCTCATTTATCGCTTGGCAGATAATATTAAGTTCAGTGTCAATAGCCGCCTGGTTGGATGATAAGAGGAAGGCCCTTCTTATTAAAGGTGAAATTGCCACATTGACGTAATGTTGCAATTGATATGCCATAGCCGGGATTACAGGAGGTACACCACTGAATTTGTGGAATACGGAGTATGTAGTGCTATTTTGGGATTTATTAATTTTTAGGTCCAAGAACGCAATTTCATTTTCCTTTTCCTTTTCCCAGGTGAAAGTAATAGTGGGATAAGTGGTCGCAAGGTGGTCTTTGAAAGCAAGGAAATTTTCATGGGTGTCCTGCCAAGCCACAAGAATGTCGTCAACATATCTAAGATATTAAAACAAATATTTTATCATAATGGGAAATTTAAACATCTTGAACTCTATGTTTCTCATGATCAACTCCGCCAAAACTGCTGAAAGTGGTGAACCCATCGGGACTCCCTGTTGCTGTAGATATATTTGGCCCCTGAATTGAAAATAATTATTTTCGGAAATGAAAAGTAGAGCCTCACGTAATTCTAATACCTCTTGCGCTGTACAACCTTTCTTGATTAACATCGCATTAGCTAGCATAACCGCCTCAAATTGCAGCACTGAGGGATAAAGGGCAACTACATCCAATTTGTAGTATGTATATTCGTTTTGCGGAATGTGGTCCAGTACAGAGGATATGTGGGTCTTCACTGCAATCGAGGAAGATGTAACCAGATGGGAGGGAGGCAGGAGCCCACTTAATAACTTGGCTAGGGCTTTTTTGAGATGGAAGGCAGGGTGTGTCCTTTTATTAACTAATGGTCTTAGTGGCCAGCCTTCCTTATGTGTTTTAACCTCAAAAAAGAGTCTGGTACAAGCCACATTGGTTGGGGGATCAACTCTTCCGGGAAGAGCTAAAATGGTTGGAAGGGATATTATTTTTCTAACCTTTCTTAGGACAGTAGAAGTTGGATCAGCTTGTAAGAGTACTGCACAGGAATGGTTGAGAAAGTCGGTAGCCCTGTTTAGAAAATCTTTCTCTTTACATAACACAAACTTCTTCTCTTTATCCGAGATTAGAAGCCGTAGATTGTTTGCTTCTAAGTAGCGCCTTACATTATGGCTATTGACATAATTTCCTCTGGTGTGCATGAATTGCGGTTGTGATGTAAGTGCTGAAACAACAGAAAGTTCCATATTTGGGAAGTTGGTTGAGGCTTGACAATTCTTCAACGCCTCTAGGGCTGCCGGGATCATGTCCGATGTGCTTGGACCACTTGGCGAAGGAATAAACTTAGGTCCTCTTTGTATAGTTTTGAGGATCTGGATTGGAACTTGCTCACCTGTATAATTGTAGAATAGGGTTGGGTTTGGATGTTTGCATTGCCTTCCTGATAAACCTAGGAGCCAATTTAACTTCCTGTTGGATTTGTTGATCTCCTTCTCGGCAAAGGAAGTTGCAATGCTTTGCAATTTTCCCAATTGGAGAGATAGAGATGCTGGATCACAGGTCTGTGTAAACTTTAGATGGGCGAGATATAAAATTTATCTCGCCCAGACCTGTGACTCTAATCCCGGCTATGGCATATCAATTGCAACATTACGTCAATGCGGCAATTTCACCTTTAATAAGAAGGGCCTTCCTCTTATCATCCAACCAGGCGGCTATTGACATCGAACTTAATATCACCTGCCAAGCGATAAATGAGGCGGGCTACAGCAAAGCCAAATTTAATTACATCTTAAATAAGGTAAAAACATCACTCTTTCCCGCCACCACGTTACACCGTCCGAAGGAGTCCACAATAGTCCTGCCTGCGATACCATTTTTTGGCCGTGTCACCCTCCGTATTTGTCGTATTTTTAGGCGACATGATTTGTTTCTGCCGATCTCTCCGCGGTCGAATCTTAGGAGGTTGCTGGCCAACAACAGGAATCCTTTATCCACCATTGAAAAATCGGTAATTTATTCAGTCCCATTAGAGAATGATTTAGGCGGTCACACCCATTATATTGGTGCGACAACTAGAATGTTAGCTAATCGTATTTTAGAGCATCAATATTCCATCAGGGAAGGCAGGAATGACACAGAACTCGCCAGAATGGTGCTACAACACAAGCATACCCCTCTGTGGAATGATGTGGTCATACTAAAACATTGCAACAACAAAAATCTTGTATATATCTGGGAAGCCCTCATCACCAACGTATTAAAGCCCTGCAACACCCCCACTCTGGATTTGCCCCCTTTGTGGATCAGTTTGTACAGTTATATAAAACATCGCAACTAAAACCACAATATAGAGCTGTCTAACGCATGCGCAGTATAAACGCACATGTTTTTTATTTAAATATCTTCTTTTTTTGTTTTTATTCTACCGTTGCTGTTATTCCAAAATGTTAATTAACATTAGAATATTTTTAAAAATTTTGTATTCAAAAGAGGTTTTTACATCTTCTAACGACCTGAAGAAGACGAAAATGTGTATCGTCGAAAGCGCTCGTCAATTTAGTGACATACGTGTGTAATTTAACGCTTGTATGGTAAAAGTTTTTGTGTACTAGTTTTGTACCAATTTTTGTGAGAATATTTAATTTTCCCCTATATTTTTAAGTGGTTTTCATTATATGGTAACTTTTCCAGATTTACCTCAATAACTCTGTTATTAATGGATCCCAAGTGTTAGCTCAGGAATTAGAATCATTGCACTCTTTCATTGCAGTATACTGTGCTATATGTTTCCACAATCCATCAAAGACAACAATATTTAATGGAACCCTGGATCTGAACAGTTTTGGTAACACAGAAACTAGGGGACATTAAGGAAAACAACACATGGTTATATTTGCCATTTTGATTACCTATACAAGCTTAACTAAACAGTACTACAATTGTGTGTCTATCAGTTTGCAATATGTATAAGTTTATCATCAGAGTAATAAGAAAATTTGTGTTATATAGTGGAAACCCTTGGGCACCCATCAAACTGTCATACATGCTCAAAGTCTGGAATGTGGTGAAAATTTTGTTTTGACACAATATTGAAATTGTAAAAGTTCTATGTTTTTCCCGCAAACAAAATTCCATGAAAATCCAAATATTCCAAAATATATTAGCGAAATAAAATCCCAGAAATATTCCAAATATCCCAGAAATAAATTCTATTGTCTAAAATATAGAAATGGAAATTNCATCACAATGCTTTCAATTTTAGTTGTCTTGCCTTTGTACATCATATTTCCCCTGTAAATAACAGAGTAATGCCATAAAAATTTTTCTCCAGAACAGAGTTATTACTCTGTTCTGGAGAAAAATTTTTTGAATTGAAATAATGTGACTTCCAGTCCAAACCAGAAGTTTGTATACAGTTAATCAGGGCCTCCTGTCCCTAAGCTTTCTATATCCTTAACTTTCATCTATCTAATTCTGTTCTCGAGATTAAGGAAGGTCAGACAGACAAATACCAGTAAAAATTTATAGATCTGCAATCTTTAAAAATTGCAGCCCAAAAACAAAGAGATTAAATGTATAACTAAATAATATAGCACTTATTGTAACTAGCTTACCTTATTATAAGGCAAAAGACCTCGAAGTGAAAATTTGGCTGTAGCTGGATCTAGTTTCCAAACATTTCCCATTGTTCCGGAATGACCAACAACTGGTAAAAGTTTTGAACGACCTATATACAATATAATATACATTAAATTAAAAATCTATTCTATAAAATCAAATTTTAAGATTAATCATATTTGTTTTGTAGTGTTTCAGCAAAAATTTATTATTATTATTATTAAAAATTATCAGGGAATGTTCAACCACACCAAAAGACACCATTAAAGAGAGAAACACCAAAATGACAAAATGTACAGTTTTTTTGTAGTGTTTCAGCAAAAATTTATTATTATTATTTTTATTTTTGCATTATAAATTAGATTCTGGATAATGTAGTGCACTGATTTATAAATGCATTTGGTTTAGCAACAGAGCTGCTACACCATATTGCAAGTGCCAGTTGTAGCCATATTCCACAGGCGTGGAAGATTGTCTGCAAAATATATCTCAATAATATGTATTGATATATCAAATATTTATAACTATTGTCACAGAAATATCAATAAATGTTAGCCTTTTATATTCATGATATATCATGTATTGTTAGTAGCAATTATTGATATTAATTTTAGAAAATTAAACATAATATATCTTTTAAGTGTTTAGGTCATACAAAATAATTAACAGAAAATTCAATAGTAAATTTGAAAAAAAAAATTTTGTAATAAGTAACAAGTATTATTTCATAAAAATTTTTTATGATGTTATCACTATTGTAGGAAATTCCTTAAATTAATTATTGCATTTACAATGTTATCATTATTGTAGGGGAAAACATTTTTTCATTAAGCAAAGTTTTAAATGTATTTTGTGGAAAAATTCAGTTAATTTCAGAATAGTTACCTAGACCAAAATGACACTTAAGACAGTATCAGCATTAAAAGTGTAGCATGACAGTTATTTTAGATAAAAATTAACAATTATCTGTAAGCTCTGTTCAAAAAAAACTATGAACTATCTGAAAATAACAAGAGACATCATAATGATATTACATACACATATGCAGTATATACATGCATACTAAAAGCAAAGTCTATAAAATTTATAATTAATAATCAGATAACAATAATAATGTGTATGCATATTTCTTATGTTGGGTTTAGTGGGTTATACTTGATTGACACCAATGGCTGTGTACTATGCAAGACCAATCAAGACACAGCATCCAAAACAAAACAAAAATTAAATAAGAGTATCGGTGTCTGTATTCAAGAATTTCCTAACAATATGACATGTATTCAATATACTGGCCTTCTGTAGTATAATGTATGTGTTTCTATTCAATTGTAGTGTTTCCAGGCTTTTGTGTAGTGTGTGATATGATACCTGCAGAGGAGAGGACAAGAGGTACAATAAGAACCTTATCCATTCTCCACGGGCGAGTTGTGTACTTGCTGATTTTTTCAGTGCACGTGTTTTGTATATTGAGAGTGTTTAGAATGGATATATTGTGTTTATTGATAAGTGTGATGTCTGCTCTGTCATGGAAAATTCTTTTATCTGTGATTATGGCTCTGTCCTAGTACATTTTGTGTGTGTTATTTTCCAATATGTTTGTGGAATGTGTTTGTAGTATGGTTCATAAATGTCTAATAATTTGCATTTCTTTGAAAGCTCTTGGTATATTATATTTGCTACTTGATTGTGTCTGTGTAAATAATCTGTCTGTGCCAAGAGCTTTCAACCAGAAGTGATGTGTTGTATAGTTTCTGGCATAATGTGACATTTTCTGCATGTTTTGTTTGTGATTGTTGTATCTTTGAGTATGTGTTTTCTGTAGTTTTTAATATTTATGACTTGATCCTGTATGGCAATCGTGAATCCTTCCGTCTCCCCAAAAAGGCATCCCTGAACTAACTAGCTGTCTGATGCAGTTTTGTCAACAAAATCCTGGGCCAGGCCTGTCTTGGAGTGCCTTTCGAGCCCACAATTGCTTAATGGTGTCTATGCTTTTTATATGTTGTGTCATGTCCACATGTTGTGAGTGTAAATTTAAGTCTGCTAAAGTTACTTCTTTATGTAATTGTAATGCTTCTTGTTTTTTGTAGAAAAACTCTCACAGTGTCTGTATTTGTTTGTAGTGAAGGTTAACTATGTCAATCAGGCCACATCCACCATCTTTACGTGGAAGGGTTAATCTGAGATATTCTGCGCAAAAGGAAATATGACAAAAGCAGAGTACACAAAGAACAAACTTTATTTTCACATCAGAAACAAAGGTTTTCGGGTCCCAACCCTGATACAGTATCCTGGAGTAATTGTTGTGCGTGTGGAGTAATTGTTGTGTGTATATATATACATATACATACATACACATACATATATATACATACAGTAGAGCATCGATTATCCGACTCAATTGGGAACTGGGGTTGGTCGGATAATTGAAAAGTCAGATAACCGAAAAGTATAAAAAAATCCATTATTAGTGTAGTATATTATTATATCCCATGTAATTAGTATATCGCTATTAACCTACTTCGCGTTGAATTTTCCTCCATGTTAAGCCTATCAAATTTTTTTTTTAAATAATAACTGTCGCTATTGCATCATAAAAAATTATTTCCTTATTTTGCACAAAATAAATGCAGTACTGTACTGTACATTGAAAAATATTTTAAAATATACAGCCAGCTAGTATTCACCCTACTATAAATCCTTTGCCTCCTGTAAGTTTTATGAGAATGTCCCGGGAAATCCAACACCAGCTGTTCTCAAGGTCATCCAGCTATAAACACAATGACTCATCAGTGTCAAATTTCGCAGAAAGGCAAGACAATGGAAAATAAAGTTTGAAGCTTTTTCTTCAAGAATAACGCATTTCTTTCGTTTTTTTTTTCAGTTTTAAGTATTTTTTATGTTTAATTATAATGTAATTAAAAATTGATCAGAGAGGAAGTGGTTAACAAGAACATTTATTAGCTTGTGCACATCTGACTTGGATCTTACACACAAGACATCTGCTATCGTAAACAATTGATGAAATAAAAGTGTACATTTATCAGAGAATAGACAAAGACTCAGTTTGTAAACAATTTACCTTCTGTGTATACAACTGACACTCGATCCATAGCGGTCTTTCAATGACAGGACATAAAAAATGAACAGATTAATCATATTTGTTTTGTAAACTGTGCTTAACTTAAGCACAGTTTACAAAACAAATATGATTAATCTTAACACAACCACTCATAATTAAAAAATTAAGCCTCGTTTAAATACTGTCCTCCCTTTCATGGTCGAGCCAGT